GTTCGCGAACAGCCGAACTGGGTTCGCGCCGCAGCTGCGGCACACGACAGCCCCATTACACGATCGCGTGCGCCACACTTCTCCCGCGAGGAACCGGTATCTGCCGAGCACCGGGCTGGCGTGCCTCCCTAGACGCGTTTCTCTTCCGAATGGGGAACGAAGCTGGCCGATGAACTGCTCGAGCGAGACAGAAGAAGAGTAAGATCTCACGCAGGCGACAAATGTTAGCTTCCTCGCGGTAACAATTGCACGCTGCACGCGTTTCGGCGGAGTGATCTTGTACAGAGTTTAGATGTTATTGAAGTCGCGATACGTTTTCGAGTGCTGGTGGAATATAATCTTGAAGCTCGTAGAAAAATGGGAGAGAGGTTTCTGACGAGTGCACGAGTAGAAACAAGAATCAAAGCATGAAAGTTATGTTTCATTTAACTGAAGATCAATTTAACCCCTTGAAAAACCAAATTATGTGAAATGTACACTTTTTACAGAGAACCCGACGAGTTGCGTGTTTTTCCGAAGCTGCCGGAAGATTGTGCAAGAGAACTGTTACTCGATTATTGAACTTGGCATTTCAAGCTTTAATCGTGTCAAATGATCAGTCTCTTATTTCATTGGAATTGAAATGCAAATTAATTCGATTCTTGCAGTTGGTTGAAGTGCAGCATTTTGTATTAACCTTTGCTCGTTTACACGCTTATATATTCGCTGAGGAATACGAATGAACATGCTAATTAACCCCTTGACCTACAACAACGAGGTAGACTCGTGGTGAAGATTTTCAAAATGATTCAACGAATATATATTACTCAGTTCATTCGAATTCAAAGTGAATATTACTCCTCTGTAATCAATCAACTGTTATATTTAAAAGGAAATATAGGCATACATATGCTTAGAATTTTTCTCTTCCAATAAATTATTACAAAGCAGCCATATCGACCAGAGTTGAGAAATATATCATAGGCCAAATATACCATAGATCCGAATTAATTAGTAGTAATGAATAAGATTTCGAATAGTTGGTTTTCAGTTTGCTTTACACGTTTCAGAATTAAATTCCACATGTGTACGTTCCAATATGATTGACGAATCATCTGTGTGTATGCCACTTCAAAGTAGGTGAAGGGATTTCGAGCAAACTGTATTCTAGGAATGGGCTACAGAAGACATTCGTTAATATTCGAAGATATTCGCGGAAGGTTTTGGGGAGCAGCGCCGATAGTCGCGTTTTGGTTGCGGATAAAATTATTTCGCCTATCCCGGGAAGTTCGCCCCGCCGATGCTTAAGGGAGTTTGCCTACGTGCGGCGAGTGCAGAGGACGGAAAACGGCCCGGACGTGTACTACAAGTAAATTATGGCGGTCGGGCGTTGTTTTAGTCCTGCGGTTGATCCTGCTTCAGCGCGGGAGACGTAGGTATTCTAATCGATGGCGAAGCAGGACGTGTTTATGTCGAAGTTACGGGACGGCTGCGAGTTATGCGGGATTAGATTGGTTAAGAAGTGTCTAGATTCCGCGTAAATCAGTTCACGTGGATGTAATTATACCGGAGGCTAAAATATCTAATTAAATACGGGATGCAACACCTTTCTCACTGACGACCCTAATGTCCCAGCAATTTTGAACGATGATGTTCTCTATTACACAAGACACAATAATAAGCAGTATAAGTAACGAACTCTGCGCTTAGTGAAACATTACCCACAATCACACGAATCCCTTAACAACAATTCTAATTAAATGTAAATTCGTCTTCAATCGAATGAAAGCTAACTTTTCCACGTACATGCAACACAATGAAACACACTGATACTTATCTCCATAACTTCAACCTTCTTCCACTAAAAGATACTCTCATATTTTCCGAAACAAGATTCCAGTTTCTTAACTTTTTACCACGCAATTGTCCGAGCCACATAATAAATTCAGCGTTGTGCGGCCTGCACACGATTTCGAGCGCAGAAAGTTCCAGTACCGGCCGCGAAGGAGCTCGTAACGAACCGTCGAATGGCCCGAGGCACTCATTCGGTCAGATAAGGAAGACAAAGGGAAAAAAAATTAATCACGTGGGCGGCGCGCTCGCTTCGCATCCGGTCCATTTTCACGGCCCATTTTTCTCGGATCGCGGTCCGCCGACGAGCGACTCGGGGACGATCCAGAACGGAACTGCGAGCCGTCGTTCCGCCGTGATTTTTCACCGCCGTCTGAGAAACGGCGAACTCGGCGAGCATGTTCAGCGCCGTGTCTGCTCGACTTCCATCCGTGTTTCCACCGCATCCACCGATACCTCAGACGACGCGGCGTCATCGGTGAATCGCTCGGAAACTGTCGACGATCCGTTCCGCAGCTGTTGCTGTTCGAAACTGTACCCACTCTGTCCTCTTCCCCGAGACACGATCCCGCGAACATCGGAAACACGAAGCGACCGTGGAACATCGAGGAATATATCTATATTTAACTAGGATCGGTCGAACCGGTTCCCCTCCTCGCACACCCTTTGCACTCTGTAAATGAAAACGTGGTCGGCCGTCGAACGTCGATATCGATCGGTGAAACTGGTGTCTTTACCGAGCGCGGATGACCCTTTTTGTCGGTCATTTTTAGTATTAGGTCGAGGACTTCTTTTTGCGATGTGTGTCAGTGGAGTTAGCTAATTCTTCATACGAATATTAAGTATAATTGATCTCTTAATATACACGCGTTACACTTCTCGTGTATTTTTCTTTGCTTTCGAAACAGAATGTGCGATTCAATGATTGCGTAATAAAGAGATTTGATAGTAGAAATAATAGAAAGCGATGAACGATAAGATTGGGACGATTTCAAGGAAGCTCGGTAGAAACTGGAATCATCGAAAGATCGGAGCCGTAAATATACGGAAGTGTAAGCAGTAATCTGTGTCAGTTGGGTCCCGTGACACTCGTTAACCCTCCTCGCAAAATTCGATGATATCGTTAATAGCGGCTGAGTTAATTAGCGCCTAATGAATTTCGGGGGACGGCGCTAACGATAATAATAAATTACGCGCAATAGGACCGGACTGATAGTGCGGCCGAGCGTGCGGTTAAGCAGCATTCGGCGCGATTACGCGCGGCTATTGATCACTCATTAGCGAAACGATCGTCTGATACGTTGGGCTCCTGGCCCACTCAAGTATCATAGACCTCTGGCACACACTTGACAGCTCAATATTTCATCGCGGTCGTCCGGCCTCGATGGACTACGAAGGACGATTACATCAGCCCACTATTACCGGCAGGATATGCGAATCGGTCAGGAATAATATTAATCTCAACTTTGATAACACCTGACCTTTGACGTTAGTCTCGAGATTCTCTTCGTTTTCGACTCTCCGATAGATTAGAAATTGAATCTTCTACTGTACTTGGTATTTTACTCGGTATTCGTTTTTCAAATTTCTTCATCCTCCTTAGTTTTGAACCTTGAATACATCACGCGATTAGACGATCCAATTTTCAACTACCGAAATTCAAAGAATTTTTCCTCGGCTCCTGGGATCGGTATTCCGAAGCCCGAACGGGGGAGTTAATTAAAGTTAGACCGTTACAACCGAGGCCGATCAATATTCTAAAGCGATTCTCTATCGAAACAACGTGATTCGGTAATTACCATCGACTGTTCGTCACAGCGTTCGCGGCGGACGCGGTCAAAGCCGACCGGCGATTCTAAAGAACTCATTAAACGAGTCCTCCACGTTATTTACAGGCGAGGTTGAGCCGCTCGCCTCAATTACACTCGGTTGGATATTCTTTTTATTTCAATTAGTCCGCTACATTTTTACGCGAGCCCCGTGCGCCTCGCTTCTTCCTCCCTCCTCTTGGGATACGCGGCGCATCAAGAGCATTGCCGCCATGAAACACTCCTAATTAGCTTAATTAGTGCTCTCACGTTGCCTTCAAATGCTAATAGAATTATGCCGGCGTTCGTCGTAACGTTACGTGGCAAAAAAATGCGTGCCAGCGGAGAACGCAAAAAGATGATGGCGAAGAAGCGAGGAACGAGGAAAGAACGAAAAGGAAGAGAGGGAAATGGTGAGGAAAAGGGGGATAAGAAGTGTATATGTATGTGTGTGTGTGTGAGAGAGAAAGAGAGAGAGAGGAATAGCGGAAGGTAGGGAGAATAGAAGGAGAGGGCGAGAAAGAGGAAAGTAGTGGCGGGGAAAAAGACCGCAAATTCTTTTTCAGGTCAAAGGGTTCCTTTCACGTCATCTGCCGCGCTCGAGAGCCGCTGAAAATAAAAATGACCTCGCGGAAAGTCTTTTCCTCGGTTCTCTCGTCGGCCGGACAAGCAGGCTAGGCGAGCGCGGCAGCATTTCTGCCCCGCTACTTCATTTTCCCAGCTTTCTTTCCACGTACGCGGCGCGCGCCGCGGTGAAACGTGGCCCCCGGCCGGGCTCCCTTGATACCGGCTAATTCGACTCGCACGAAATTATTTCGCGGTGAATTTTACCGCGAAATATCGAATAGGCGGGGCTCTCTCGCGTTTCTCGAGTTGCTTGTTTTGCTCGGAGTGGTTCTCTACGGTTTCAAAGAAATTATATTTCGAACGAGTGGACCGGTAATTGGTCGCGCGAAACAAGTATCGGTTATTAGTGGAGGTCATCGTGTTAAACGCGAATTAAAATACACGCGACGCGTGAAAAGTTGATTGAGGAATTATAGATCTCTGTTCGTGGATCCACTTTGATGGTTAGTTTTGTCGCCAAGTCGATCGAGTTCTTTGTAGTGCGTTATACGTCTTCGTGTATATTACAGTCGAGATTTCTTTGTTTTTGAAAATTGCCGGTATGAGACTCGAAACTTTGCATTATACTGTTTAACGTGTATATTTGTGTATCAAAATCAAAGGGTTGGTAAAAATGAGATACGGATTTGTTTAGTACATGCGAAATAGAGTAGTAATAATAGTAGTACTGTAGTAATTACTGTAATTAAAAATTGAGTATCTTCTCAGATATTCGATCTAAATATTTCGACTCACCGATCTCCAGGTATTTCTGATGCACCGGGTCGTATTGTTCCCAGGTCAAAGTCCGGAAACGGCTCTTCTCGCGGCTGGCGGGTAGGAGCGTGTCGTTTCGGTTGTGGTGATCGATCACGTTCGGATTCCTGGAACGAAAACGTAAATCGTTATTTCGGATATCTTCGTCGATCGACGGTGATGGTTTTGCGAATATCGTTGGCCCTGGACCCAGACATCCATTACTGTCCTCCTTTACCGTCGAGCATGACGCTGCTTCGAGTTTCAGGAATGAAGATGCACGTTCGACGTCTGACTTCTATGTATACTAAGATTTACTGAACGTTCAACCTCGGTTTAACCCGATAATCTTCAACTATCTCACTGGGATTCGGATGTAAGTAGTACAACGCAACGTTTGTACGGTTAACATGAAATAGCTCAAACCAGTCAAACATGTGCTCATCGCATGGAATTTAATTCTACAGACTAATACACGGAATTAGCAACTCAGACATTAACAAGTAAGTCATTGTTCACTTAAACATTAAACTGACAAGGAAGACATGTGGTGATGTGACAACAGTGACGGCTCGTCGAGGAATGCACTCTCAAGTGACACGACATAGCGGTATCTCAATTATATCTCCAATGATTTCCACCAGCTCATATATTCATAAGATCCAATAAAATTACCGCGATACCTCTGTAACACATCCCGCAGCGCAAGCCGAAATTACCGAGGCACCTTCGGCGGAGCTTGCGAGTGACGATCTCGGTAAACTCCGTCCGTTATTATGCTTCCGGGCCAAGAAACTGCGCCGGCGGCGAAGGAAACCACGCATCGGCGGCTGCGTTGAATTAGTGCAACAAGTAGCAAATCGAAAGGGAATTAAGCCGCGAGGGCCGGCGGGCCGCGACGTGCGCTTTGTTCGGGGGGGTTCCCAGTCCGTTCACGAACAGCCGGGAAGAATACGTCCGCGGAATCCGGAATGCGGCGCCGCAGGATTCGAGACACGGCCGCGGCATAATTCACTATCGGGAAGTTTCGTCCCCGGCGCACACGGCTCCTGCATACGATGTCCACCCGGTCGTTACTCGCCGCGACACCCTCCCTGATTACTTTGTCCGGCTCGCAGCAAGTATTACACAGGCTGCGGCACTGTTTACGCCGACCGTGCACGCCCCTCGAATCCTTTGATCGAGCTGGCCGAGCAATGTCCTCTATTGTATTCAGGATACTCTGCGACGGGGACATATTTTTGAAAGAGAGGACGCGCAGAGGCGGGATCTTTGAGTCGTGATTTAATAGTCGTTGGAGAGCAGCAGGTAGATATTGTGATTCTAGCGTTAAATGCATGGCTCAGTGGTATCATGGTATTTGGTCGGACAGTGGTGCTTAGTTTGGTGTTCGAGCCTTTTGAATGCTTTAGCTCGAATATTACCCACAGGTGAAACGAATGTACGAGAGTACGGTTCAAGTGGTAGCAGCCTGTGTTTGGTCGGACATTGTTTCATAGGTTATCGTGTTGAATGTTTTATTCTGTTGTGTGCTGGATTTATAGGTGAAATGAGTGGATAGGATAGTGTACGTAGTAGAGATCAGTGTCTAGACTGATCGTATCTCACTGTTTTGCACACGTTGTTCGTAATACTTTTAAGCAATTATTTATTCCCCAGCTAAGTGCAACGTTAATTCACACACTGGCTGGATACATAACACGAGGAACTAACGTTCGGCAACATTAAGAGCATTAAATATTAAGTAGCACATCCGAATAATTAGACAGACACTTGTGGCCATTTACTGCTCGTACCAGCCGAGCTTCGTCCGAAAGTTAAATTACGCGTTGAACAGCTCCATTAAAATCGTCCGTAAGTAGCGCAGCCTGATAATTAGTCGAACTTCGTATCCCATTATAATTTGTAACGCGCCGGTTGCTCGCAGCTGTTCCTGATATTATTTTATAATTTAATTAAAACGTTACCGACCCTCACGCTCTGCCACCGGACGATTAATAAACCGCGTCAAGAGTTCAGGCTCGGTAAACGCGATACCCATTTCTGATGCACATCATTTTCGAGGGAACATGATAGACCGAGATGCGTAATGTAGGATCTCCCGTTAGAGTTGAAGTTGGTCTAAGTTAGAGTGGAGGCTATAAATTTGGCACGTTGAGCGCGGAGTCGATTTCCTTCTGCTTTTCGTTCAGGTGGCAGAGAGCAATTGCACAGACCGAATGCAACGTTCGTTTGAGCTATGCTTCTTTGTTCACACTGTTTTAATTAAACTTCATTAACATTACAACATTTATTGTTTGATCTTGACACTGCCAGTGTCACGCACCGATGTCGCCCAAATGAAAATCGCGATCAACGCGTTGACTCGACATCAGGTTTCTTCACAAGTGTGCTTCTTTGCCAAGATATTTTTAAAATGAATTATACTATTATGCTATTTTCAACGTTATTAGTAAGACGAATAGTTTATACTGCTCCCTACAAACTATCTACTTTTTAAGATGCATTTCAAATCAAATATCGTAATAATACAGAGTTATCAAGGAGAAAATGCAAAAGAAATTCGGAGTGCAAAGGGTTAAGAGTGAGTAGGCCAAATATTTGGGAAAATCTTTGGTGCATGGGTTATGCTTTGCCAAGATTATGCGTGAGACTCGAGAATGGTCGAGGAAGTGAGTGAAAGAGTCAGAGGAAAATAAAGCAAGCGAGTGAGCGAGAGAGAGAGAGAGTGAAAGTGAGAGCAAGGAAGTAAGAGAGTGAGTCAAGTATATAGTGGTTGACGAGAGAGGCGAGAGATTTTTTGGGAGTCAATGAGAAAACGAGTACGGTGTGTTAGTGAGCGTGATTTCAGAACTCTGTTAATAAATCTTGTTATTTAATCCGTGAGTTTTATCGCGAGTTTCCATCCTTTATCTCGACAGTGCGTGGGATTTTTGTGAATAAATCCTATTACAGAATGAGTGTAGGTGAATGCTTGGAAAATTTGTAAAATCCTTAGTCCATGAATTGCGTGAGATTCTGCTTGGTTGAGAGAAAATGTGCACGCGAAAAAGAGAAGGAAGAGACAACGTATGAGATTTCTAAAGACAATTGTGGAAAATTGAGGAAATAGAGTACTTTGTGAAAGTTAATCAGCGAAGCATTATCTTAAATGCTCGAGCACTTTAACGAGTCTCACCGTTACAGTTCCCTTTTCCCTTATCAACCCTTTGTAGACTTTCAGAAATGGAAAATCTTAAGATCCTTTCCTATTTACATAATTATCCTTAATCAGCTCTCGATTTTAAATGTCTAACCCTAACGTTCCGTAGCATACACTGGTCCACAAAGGGTAAGGGAACTATTATTTTCATTAGAACCCTTTGCGAGTGTTTCTTCAATACGACGCTGCAAAGGTTTTATTAAAGAATAATCTTTTTTCATTTCTACGGACTCTTTATGCCCATTCCCGGGTAAAATGTCTTCCGAAGGAACAGCCTCAGCCGTCACGCGCCGCGGAAAAGTGCGGAATTACTCGAATATAGCGAGATATCTGGAGGGGTTGCAGCGCAACTAATGCGGTCGGTACACTCGCCGGGTTTCATAACGCGCTACATACCCCGCCGCCGTGGCCGCAAAATCTGCTCAGTTCTCGTTTACGGAACGACGGGAACGCGTTTAGAGAAACGATAGAGGGCGGGCGGACGGCGCGGGGCTTAATTACGCGCTACCTGGATCTACGCGTTGGGCAAATTGCTATTAGCGGTTTCGGGAACGCGCCGGAATAGTCTCAGGTATCTCGCTGTCGTTCGGAAAAATTGCCCGGGCAACGGCGATATTAAATTCCGGCGATGCTCGGGGAAGGCGGTCGCGACAAATTGTGCGACTACTTGATACTGCGATTCTTATTCTCGGGCTTTCTTCTCCGTGACTCGTCTCGGCTGCAATTTCACCCGGTAAGTAGGCAACCTCTCCGTGCTCAGTGAGTTCAACGTTTAAGAAAATTTAAGAGCGTGCGAGATCTTTCTGGAAATCTTAATCGTTCAGTGGAATAATTTTGAAACTGGGTTTATGGACGTTCGTTGGGCAGTTTTATATTATTGTTTCTAGATGAATGTTCGTTTATTTAGATGTGAACGTTTACTAGGTAAACGTGAAATTCTATATGAGTTAAATTTACGTGTTTCGTAACGTTGAAGGAAGATTTGTAGGAGGATGATTGATTTCTTAAATAATATCTGATACTTCCCAGGGAATCGATTATCTTTGGCAAATTATTCCAATATTTTACTATCCGTTCAATTGCCTCATTTGCTGTATAAATGATGATGGAATTCGCCGGGTGCAGAACCAGTGGGTTCATTGATTTACCGTCGAATTAACCTATTCATTCGAACGTTGCCCATGCGGAATTCCTATTCGCCGGCTTACTACAAATCAAATTCCTAGCATTGTACGAGCGTACGGCTGAAAAACAGGTATAACGTTTACAATAATCCGCGGATAATATCGTCGATGAACATTGAAATAATTTTCCGAGCATTAACTGCCGAGATTTTCATGGCTTCCGAATCATAAGCTCGTAATAGCGATAGAAATAGACCCGCGCAGTCTGTGAATTTAATTGAATTCCAGTTGCCGTCGAATATTCGTCGAATCGATACACCAAGAACCACGGAAAATCCTGAAACATACTTTCTACTATAAAAATCCAACAAATTTTCTCCTTGATTTAAACACACGTATCTTTTAAGTACTCAAATTGATAAAAAAATCTGACTAACTCTCAGACTTCGCAATCAATCTGAAACCACAGATCCATCGAATGTCAAACATCGAAATAAAACTTTTTCGAAAGCAAGTGGAAGAGGTCGACGCTCGGTTAGGCAAATATTGAAATTACTGCGACTATATTTTCCGCGTTTAAATTTGTTGCCACCTTCGTCGAGTCGCGGAAAACGAGACTGTTCTCGGTACAGACGAAATGAAAATATCCCGTTGAAACGCCGATGACGAAGTCACCGTCTCCGGCGGCGGAGTTACGTGTATTCGTTTCAAGTGACATTCAAATTTCCTTTTTGCCGCGAACTGCATGGCCGCGCGTCGCAAACGAAGAAGCGGAATCAGACCTTTAGAGATTGGCAACTTC